TCATCCCCCTGGTCCGGTGGTCTATAGTAGACTCCCACCATGACATCACCCTTGTTGCTCACACTTCTAAACTTAATCCAGAGACTCTCAGGTTTTTTTGCAGTTTCATACTTGAGCTCTGAGCAGTCATACTGCTCCCTTACATACAGTGCAACTCCCCCACCTTTTCTGCCCTTCCTGAACAGCTTATATCCATCCATGACAATACTCCAGTCATGTGAGTTATCCCACCAAGTCTCTGTTATTCCAATCACATCATAATTCCTTGACTGTGCCAGGACTTCCAGTTCTCCCTGCTTGTTTCCCAGGCTTCGTGCATTTGTATATACGCACTTGAGGTAACCTGCTGATCGCCCCTCTTTCTCAGTATGAGGCAGGAGCCCTCCCGTCTCACGCGCTCCTGCTCGTGCCTCCTCCCGGTATCCCACTTCCCTCTGGGCTTTGGTCTTCTTCCCCTGGTGAACCTAGTTTAAAGCCCTCCTCCCTAGGTTAGCCAGCCTGCTTGCGAAGATGCTCTTCCCTCTCTTTGCTAGGTGGAGCCCGTCTCTGCTTAGCACTCCTCCTTCTTGGAACACCATCCTGTGGTCACAGAATCCAAAGCCTTCTCTCCGACACCACCTGCGTAGCCATTCGTTGACTTCCACGATTCGACGGTCTCTGTCCAGGCCTTTTCCTTCCATGGGGAGGATGGACGAGAACACCACTTGTGCCTCAAACTCCTTTATCCCTCTTCCCAGAGCCACGTAGTCCGCAGTGATCCACTCAAGGTCACTCTTGGCAGTATCATTGGTGCCCACGTGGAGAAGCAGGAAGGGGTAGCGATCCAAAGTCTTGATGAGTCTCGGCAGTCTCTCCACCACATCACGAATCTTAGGTCCTGGCAAGCAGCAGACTTCTTGGTTTTCCTGGTCGGGGTGGCAGACAGATGACTCAGTCCCCCTGAGGAGAGAGTCCCCGACCACCACCATCCGCCTCCTTCTCTTGGGAGCGGTGGTCATGGAACTAGGACAGTGCATCTCATGCCTTCCAATCACCGGAGTCTCCTTCTGCTCCCTTCCCTCAGACGTATCATCTGGAATGCGTTACCTAGGGAGGTGGTGGAATCTCCTTCCTTAGAAGTTTTTAAGGTCAGGCTGGGATGATTTAGTCGGGGATCGGTCCTGCTTTGAGCAGGGGGTTGGACTAGATGACCTCCTGAGGACCCTTCCAACCCTGAGATTATATGATGGGGCTCCGGGGCCAGAGAGCGGCCTGGCGGGGGAGAGCCCGCGACCCCGACGGGGCCCTGGGGCCAGAGAGCGGCCTGGCGGGGGAGAGCCCGCGACCCCGACGGGGCCCTGGGGCCAGAGAGCGGCCTGGGGGGGAGAGCCCGCGACCCCGACGGGGCCCTGGGGCCAGAGAGCGGCCTGGGGGGGAGAGCCCGCGACCCCGACGGGGCCCTGGGGCCAGAGAGCGGCCTGGGGGGAGAGCCCGCGACCCCGACGGGGCCCTGGGGCCAGAGAGCGGCCTGGCGGGGGAGAGCCCGCGACCCCGACGGGGCCCTGGGGCCAGAGAGCGGCCTGGGGGGAGAGCCCGCGACCCCGACGGGGCCCTGGGGCCAGAGAGCGGCCTGGGGGGGAGAGCCCGCGACCCCGACGGGGCCCTGGGGCCAGAAGGGGGGGGGGCCCCCCCGCCCGGGGGGGAGGGCCTGGGGGGAGAGCCCGCGACCCCGACGGGGCCCTGGGGCCAGAGAGCGGCCTGGGGGGCGGGGGGGCCCGCGACCCCCGCCAGAGGGCCCGCGCGCCCCGCGCCGGGCCGCCCGCCCGGGGAGCCCGCGACCCCGCCCGGGGCCGCGGCCGGGGGGCCCGGGCCGGAGCCGGGGGGACCCGCGCCCCGACGGGCCCTGGGGCCAGAGAGCCGTGGGGCCCCCCAGGGGCGGCCAGAGGGGCCGGGGGGCAGGGGCCCCCGGGGGCGGCCCCGGGCAGGCGGGGGGGCGGCCCGCAGCCCCCAACCGCAACCCAAGCCTGAGCGCGACGAGGCCCGGGCCAAGAGGGCCTGGGGGGGCCCGCGACCGAGGGCCCTGGGGCCAGAGAGCGGCCTGGGGGGGGCCCGCGACCCACGGGGCCCTGGGCCAGAGACCGCCGCCCCTCGCGGGGGCCCCGAGGGCCCGGGAGAGGGCCGGGGGGGGGGGGCGGCGGCCGGGGGCCCCGGGGGGGGGGGAGCCCGCGAGGGGGGCCCTGGGGCCAGAGAGCGGCCTGGGGGAGAGCCCGCGACCCGACGGGGCCCTGGGGCCAGAGAGCGGCCTGGGGGGAGAGCCGCGACCCCGACGGGGCCCTGGGGCCAGAGAGCGGCCTGGGGGGGGGGGGGAGAGCCCGCGACCCCGACGGGGCCCTGGGGCCAGAGAGCGGCCTGGGGGGGGAGAGCCCGCGACCCCGACGGGGCCCTGGGGCCAGAGAGCGGCCTGGCGGGGGGAGAGCCCGCGACCCCCGACGGGGCCCTGGGGCCAGAGAGCGGCCTGGGGGGGAGAGCCCGCGACCCCGACGGGGCCCTGGGGCCAGAGAGCGGCCTGGGGGGAGAGCCCGCGACCCCGACGGGGCCCTGGGGCCAGAGAGCGGCCTGGGGGGGGAGAGCCCGCGACCCCGACGGGGCCCTGGGGCCAGAGGGGCTGGGGCCAGAGAGCGGCCTGGGGGGAGAGCCCGCGACCCCGACGGGGCCCTGGGGCCAGAGAGCGGCCTGGCGGGGAGAGCCCGCGACCCCGACGGGGCCCTGGGGCCAGAGAGCGGCCTGGGGGGGAGAGCCCGCGACCCCGACGGGGCCCTGGGGCCAGAGAGCGGCCTGGGGGGGGCCCGGCCCCACGGGCCCGGGCAGCGGGGGCCCGCCCCGGGCCCGGGGCAGAGGCCTGGGGGGAGAGCCCCCGACGGGGCCCTGGGGCCAGAGGCGGCCGGGGGGAGGCCCGCGACCCCGACGGGGCCCTGGGGCCAGAGAGGGCCGGGGGGGGCGGCCGGGGCAAGAGGCGGGGGAGAGCCGCGACCCCGACGGGGCCCTGGGGCCAGAGAGGGCCTGGGGGGAGGCCCGCGACCCCGAGGGGCCCGGGGCCGAGGCCGGGGGGAGGGGGGAGGCCCGCGACCCCGACGGGGCCTGGGGCAGAGAGCGGCCGGGGGGCCGCGACGGCCCCCGGGGGCCCCACCCGGGGGCCCGGGGCGAGGGGCCTGGGGGGGCCCGCGACCGCGGGCGGGGCCGAGGGGCCGGGGGGGGGGGGGGGGGGGGGGCGACCCCGACGGGCCCTGGGGCCAGAGAGCGGCCTGGGGGAGGCCCGCGACCCCGACGGGGCCCTGGGGCCAGAGAGCGGCCTGGGGGGGAGAGCCCGCGACCCCGACGGGGCCCTGGGGCCAGGAGCGGCCGGGGGAGACCGGGGGGAGAGCCCGCGACGACGGGGCCCTGGGGCCAGAGAGCGGCCGCCCGACCCGACGGGCCCTGGGCCAGAGGGCCTGGGGAGCCCGACGGGGCCCTGGGCCAGAGGGGCCTGGGGGAGAGCCCGCGACCCCGACGGGGCCCTGGGGCCAGAGAGCGCCTGGGGAGAGCCCGCGACCAGGGGCCCTGGGGCCAGAGGCGGCCTGGGGGGGAGCCGGACCCGCCCAGAGGTGGGGGGAGGGCTGGGGGAGGCGCCTGGAGGCGGGGCCCTGGGGCCAGAGAGGGCCTGGGGGGAGGCCCGCGACCAGGGGCCCTGGGGCCAGAGAGGCTGGGAAACGGGGCCCTGGGGCCAGAGAGCGGCCTGGGGGGGGAGAGCCCGCGACCCCGACGGGGCCCTGGGGCCAGAGAGCGGCCTGGGGGGAGAGCCCGCGACCCCGACGGGGCCCTGGGGCCAGAGAGCGGCCTGGCGGGGGAGAGCCCGCGACCCCGACGGGGCCCTGGGGCCAGAGAGCGGCCTGGGGGGGAGAGCCCGCGACCCCACGGGGCCCTGGGGCCAGAGAGCGGCCTGGGGGGGAGAGCCCGCGACCCCGACGGGGCCCTGGGGCCAGAGAGCGGCCTGGGGGGGGAGAGCCCGCGACCCCGACGGGGCCCTGGGGCCAGAGAGCGGCCTGGGGGGGGAGAGCCCGCAACCCCACGGGGCCCTGGGGCCAGAGAGGGCCTGGGGGGGAGAGCCCGACCCCGACGGGCCCGGGGAGCGGCCGGGGGGGACGGGGCCTGGGGCAGAGGGGCCTGGGGGGAGAGCCCGCGACCCCGACGGGGCCCTGGGGCCAGAGAGCGGCCTGGGCCGGCGGGGGGGGGGGGGCCGAAGGGGCCCTGGGGAAGAGGCTGGGGGGAGAGGGAGAGGGGCCCTGGGGCCAGAGCGGCTGGGGATGGCCGAAGGGGGGGGGAGGGGGGCAGAGGGCGGGGGGAGCCCGCGACCCCACGGGGCCCTGGGGCCAGAGAGCGGCCTGGGGGGGAGACCCTACAATAATCCCCTCAGCGATCAAAATGGCGTCGGGAAGCGGTCTCACGGGCCCGCCCCCGGCCAGGGCATGTCCCAGAAGGCCTTGCGCCCCGCCGCGGGGCCTCATGGGCGCGGTAGTCCCGCCGGGGCCGAACTACGGCTCCCGGCCTGCCCCGCGGCCCCGCGGAGAAAATGGCGGTGTTCGGCGCGGGGCATGCCGGGAGCGGCCTTCCCCAGCAGGCTGGTGGTTACCCAGCGGGCTGCGGGGCTGCCGCGGCGCCTCATGGGAACCGGAGTCCCGGCGGCCCCGGCCGCCCTTTGCCCTGAGCTGGGTCGTGGGCATCCCAGTGGGCTGTGCGCCTGCCGCGGGGCCTCATGGGAGCTGTAGTCGCGCCGGACCGGCGCCCCGCCATTGCCGGACGGAGCCTCCCCGGCCCAGCCGGACTACAGCTCCCGGCGTGCCCCGCGGCCCAACGGCACAGCGCACAAAATGGCGGCGGCAGGCCCCGCGCGCGCGGGGCCCGCCGGGAGCTGTAGTGCCGCGCGCCCGGCGCGCCCGCTGCCCCGCGCGGCGCGGCGCGGCCCGGCGGACTCCATTTCCCGTGGTGCCGCGCGGCGGGCGGCGCTAGCGGGGGCGGGGGCAGCTGCTGGCTCGGAGTCAGGCTCAGGCCGAGGCGGCGGCGCGGAGCGAGCGGGCGGCCTGGCTCCGTGAGTGGCGCAGACGCGGCGCGGGGGGCCCGGGGCCGCGGGGAGGGGCCTGGGGCGAGGGGGCAGCAGAGGAGGGGGCTGGGGAGGGGGCAGAGGAGGGGGTCGGTGGGGAGGGGCTGGGGTGGGGGGAGGGGGCAGAGGAGGGGCTGGGGGGTGGGAAGGGGCAGGGGCAGGACGGGGATAGAGGAGGGGCTGGGGTGGGGGGCAGGGGGGTGGGGAGGGTCTGGGGGGGTTGGGCGGAGGGAGCAGAGGAGTCGGTGGGGGCGGGGGGCTGGGGAAGGGGTGGGGGGATGTGGTGGGGTAGGGGCAGGACGGGGGGCAGAGGAGTGGGTGGGGGCAGGGGGGATGGGTATGGGGAAGGGGTGGGGAGGGGCAAGGGGAGGACAGGGGGCAGAGGAGGGGCTGGGGTGGGGGCAGGGTAGATGGGGAAGGGAGGAGTGGGTGGGGGGAAGGGGAGGGAGCAGGGGGAAGGGAGGAGTGGGTGGGGGGAAGGGGAGGGAGCAGGGGGGCAGGGGAGGGTGTGGTGAGGACAGGAGAGGATGGGTCGGGAGCAGAGGTGGGGGTGGGGGCAGTGCAGGAGCCACAGCCCCCCACCTGGGGGTGACCCTCAAAGTACACATTTTTCCCCTGTAATTGTTGCGTTTTCCCCCTTATCTCTGCTCCATAACCCCTTCTCCCTCTCTGCCCCCCCCATCCTCCTCCTGCCACAGAGCGTCATTTAGGCCATCCCTTCCCCCTGCATGCCCCCCATCTTCTTGTCTGTGCCCCCTCCCTGCAGTCTCCCCAACATCAAACCCCCTCCTCAGGCTCCCCAGAGGTCTGCCCTCGTTTACATGCTAATTTGGATCTAGCTGTGTGTTGTCATCCTAAAAAGACGTTTGTTGGGGGTGGGTTTTGTGTTTGGTTTGTTCGGGGCGGAGGGGAAGGGCACCCTTGCTAGGGGACCAGGAACTAGGAATCAGGACACCTGGTTTCTCTGGGAGGGGAGTGGGGTCTAGTGGTTAGCGTGGCGTGCTGGGGCCGCTGGCAGCCCGAACTCCGGGGTCTGAGGCCGTGTGTGTCTCCGCAGGTCTTGCAGGCCCGGGCGGTGCTAGCCTGGCGGCGCCATGTACAATGGGATAGGGCTCCCCACTCCCCGGGGCAGCGGCACCAACGGCTACGTCCAGCGCAACCTCTCGGCCGTGCGGCACAAGAAGGAGCGAACCGACTACAAGTCGGAGGAGGAGCTCAGGAAGCTGGAGTCGTCTCTGGTTAAGAAGCCCAACCAGGAGATCCTGGACCATGAGCGCAAGCGGAAGGTGGAGCTGAAATGCCTGGAGCTGGCCGAGCTCATGGAGGAACAGGGGTACGTGTGGGGGTGCTACACTGTGTCACACGTGGGGGGGGCACATTGAGGATGGAGGTGGGATGCAAGGGGCACAGCGGAGGTGGGGGGTAGTTGGGGGCACACTGGGGGTGGGACATGGGGGGGACGCATTGGGAGGGTACACAGGGAGCATGGGGGCACACATGGGGGGTGGGGATAGGACGTGGGGCGTTTGGGGGGGGTACACATCAGGGGGTGGCGATGGGAGGTGGAGGTTGTTGGGGGGCACACATCGGGGGGTGGGGATGGGACGTGGGGCGTTTGGGGGGGGTACACATCAGGGGGTGGCGATGGGAGGTGGAGGTTGTTGGGGGGCACACATCAGGGGATGGGGATTGGACATGGGGCGTTTGGGGGGGTACACATCAGGGGGTGGCGATGGGAGGTGGAGGTTGTTGGGGGGCACACATCGGGGGGTGGGGATGGGACGTGGGGCGTTTGGGGGGGGGGGTACACATCAGGGGGTGGCGATGGGAGGTGGAGGTTGTTGGGGGGCACACATCGGGGGGATGGGGATGGGACATGGGGCGTTTGGGGGGGGTACACATCAGGGGGTGGCGATGGGAGGTGGAGGTTGTTGGGGGGCACACATCGGGGGGTGGCGATGGGACGTGGGGCGTTTGGGGGGGGTACACATCGGGGTGGCGATGGGAGGTGGAGGTTGTTGGGGGGCACACATCGGGGGATGGGGATGGGACATGGGGCGTTTCGGGGGTACACATCAGGGGGTGGCAATGGGAGGTGGAGGTTGTTGGGGGGCACACATCGGGGGTGGCGATGGGACGTGGGGCGTTTGGGGGGGTACACATCAGGGGGTGGCGATGGGAGGTGGAGGTTGTTGGGGGGCACACATCGGGGGGTGGCGATGGGACGTGGGGCGTTTGGGGGGGTACACATCGGGGTGGCGATGGGAGGTGGAGGTTGTTGGGGGGCACACATCGGGGGGTGGCGATGGGACGTGGGGCGTTTGGGGGGGTACACATCAGGGGGTGGCGATGGGAGGTGGAGGTTGTTGGGGGGCACACATCGGGGGGTGGGGATGGGACACGGGGGTTGTGTGTGTTGGGGGGGGTGCATTGTGCTATGCCGATGAATGTAGCTAGGGTGCCCCAAAGTAGGCTGTACCCTGCCATGGAGAGGGCCCGTCTCGTGCTCCAACGGGCCCCTTGACGCAGTGCAGGGGTGCATGGGGGAGGGGGCATGTGCCGTGGGTCCCTGTCTTCTCAAGCTGTGGCCCGGTGGCTGGAGGAGCTCTCGGGGCAGGAGACCCCAGTTCAAGCCCTCCTGTGGAGAGGGGACATTGCCCCGGCTCTCTGCCCCCGGGCTGGTGGGCCCGTAGCTGATGCTGCCACCGCTGCCTGTCTGTCGCCTTCCTTGGCGGGCACCGTAATAAGGGCCTGGGAGGCACCGAGACCGTGGGGTGGAGGGGGGGGGGGTCCACGTTGCCCCCGACTTGCTTTGGGAGCTGCCGGAGGATGGAAAAGCCGGGCACTGGCCCAGCCTCGCTCAGGTGTCCTCGGCCAGAGTCCGGGGACACCCCGTCTCGCCTGGCGCCCCCTGACTCTCCTGGCTCCTCTCCCCAGTTATGCTGAGGGCGAGATCCAGGAGAAGGTGGCGACCTTCCGGCTCATGCTCGTGGAGAAGGACGTGGCTTTGGGCAAGGAGGGGGAGCAGCAGCCTGAGCAGAAACCAGCGTAAGTACCCAAGAGGGCCACCAGCAGTGGGGCGCATCCTCCAGCGTGCCTCCCCCCGGCATTGCGAGCTTCACTGGCTGGGCACTAGAGACGGGCTCCACCTTCCCTTCCTGCGTCTCGGGCCTGAGGTGTGTCAGCGGGTGCCCCATCCCTGCCCCCCTCGGCTGTGCCGATGCCCCTCATTCCCGACCCGCAGCCCCCTGCTAGCCCAGCTCTGGGCTCCCCCCAGCTCTGCCGGTGCCCCTCACTCCCGACTCGCAGCCCCCCCTGTTAGCCCAGCTCTGCCGGTGCCCCTCACTCCCGACTCAGAGCCCCGCTAGCCCAGACCTGCCCCCGCCCAGCCCTGCTGGTGCCCCTCACTCCCGACCCGCAGCCCCCTGCTAGCCCAGCTCTGGGCTCCCCCCAGCTCTGCTGGTGCCCCTCACTCCCGACGCGCAGCCCCCTGCTAGCCGAGCTCTGGGCTCCCCCAGTCTTGCGGTCTGTTGCGCCCCTTACCGCCTCCTCTCCCCTCCCCAGGGTCACAGAGACCCACCAGCTGGCCGAGGCCAATGAGAAGAAGAACGAGCGGCTGAGGGCGGCTTTTGGCATCAGCGAGAATTACGTCGACGGGAGCTCGTTCGACCCCAGCCGCAGGGCGAAGGAGGCGGCGGCTGCCAAGCAGCAGCAGGAGCAGCAGAAGCAGTACGGGTACTGGCTGGGGTGCCCCCTGCTGGGGCCTTCGGGGTTGTGGGGGCCCTGTGCTGGCGGGGGGCAGGCTGTGTGCGGTGCTGGGGTGGATGCTCAATACCCCTCCCTGTCTGGCCTGAGTTGCAGCCCTGCGCTCTAGCGGCGGGAACGCAAACAATAGGACACAAGCTCGAGGTCTGTTGCCTCCATACCAGGGGTTCAGCTCGTGGTGAGGGAGGGGCTGGACCAGGGGCGATTAACCCCTTCACGCCTGCTCTGTCTGTCCCCAGCCTGGTCCGTGAGTCCAGCAGCTCCCGCTCTCCATCCCCCAAGCAGAAAAAAAAGAAAAAGAAGAAAGACAGAGGCAGGTGAGTACCAGGACACCTCGGTTCTCTCCCCAGCTCTGGGAGGGGAGTGAGGTCTAGTGGTTAGAGCGATGGGTGCTGGGAGCCAGGACTCCTGGGTTCTCTCCCCAGCTCTGGGAGGGGAGTTGGGTGCAGTGGGTAGAGTGGGGGGGCTGGGAGCCAGGTCTCTTGGAAGTCTCTGATGCCCTCCAACTGCATTTGACTCCAGTTGCATTCCCCTGCAGGTCAGAGAGCAGATCCCCTTCTCGAAGGGAGAGGAAAAAGAGTTCTAAGAAAAAGAAACACAGGTAAGGGATGGGCTGGCTCGGGGGCGGGGGCAGGGAATGGGACATGTGGCCTTTCCCCTGTAGGGGGCGCTGGCTCCAATCCAGCCCCAAGGCGGGTGACTGGCTGGCTCTGGGGGTGGGGAGTCTATGGGCCCCAGGGTCTGTTAGTTGCGGGGCAATTGGGACGCAGTGGGGTGCCATGGTTTTGCTGACCTCACATTCCATGTTCTCTGTCCAGGTCTGAGTCAGACTCGAAGAAGAGGAAACACAGGTGAGGGACTGCGCTGGTTTTTCTTAGTGAAATGGGCAGCCCCGCCCTGTCCCAGCAGGGGGCGCTGTGGGGGTAGCTCCTGGTGACTCCAGCCCTGGCCTTTCCCAGCAGGGGGTGCTGTGGGGTGGAGCGGGGCGGTGGCTGTTGGGGGGAGCTCCTGGTGACTCCAGGCCTGGCCTCTCCCAGCAGAGGGCTCTGTGGGGTGGGGCGCTAGCTGTGGGGGGAACTCCGGGGTATTCTAGCCCCGGCCTCTCCCAGCAGGGGGTGCTGTTGGGGGCGGGGCACTGGGCGTGGGGGGCTCTCCCGTTTCCCAATGGTCCCTGTTACTCACATCAGGTCTCCCAGTCCCAAGAGCAAACACAAAGCCAAGGAGAAGAAGAGGAAGAGGTAAGAGTCCAGTGTGTGCCCCCCCCCCCCCGAATGCCACAGCTAGTCCCCTCCTGAACCCCCGCTTGTGTGCCCCTGCACCGCTGTCAGCCCCCTCCTGCACCTCCCTGGCCTGTGCCCCCCAATGCTGCGGCCAGACCCTTCGGCCTGCGCTCCCCATGCTCCCTGATTCTCGCCCCCCACGTCGCCCACCCCCTGCTGCCAGGATTCCTCCCCACTAATCACCCCCCCCTCCCCCGCCTGCGCTCCCCACACTCCCTGATTTGGCTCCCCCCCCGGCTGCCCTACCCCCTCCACCGGCCAGGATTCCTCTGATTTCCTCGCCCCAGCCTGTGCTGCTCACGCTGCCCACCTCCCAAGGGCAGGTATTATTCCCCCTAACCGACCGCATGCTCTCAGATCCACCAGCGAGTCGGCATCCCAGAAGGGCCGAAGAGGTCGCTCGTCCTCTCCAGACTCTTCCTCCTCCTCGGAGAGCTCGCGGAGCAGGTAGGCGCCCCGCCGGTGGGGTGGGGGTGGGGTGTCAGGGGCGCGGGATCCTGCCTCGAAGGGCTTCCTAACACCCAGGGGGTGTTGCTGCTCTCAGTGATCTCTGATCCTTCTCTTTTGCCCCAACCTCCCCAGGTCCCGGAGTGTCACCACTCAGAAACGGGCTTCCCGGCCCAGCGTGAGCCCCGCCGCGCCGCCGCGGAGGAGAGCTGACCCCGAGGGTGCCCCAAAGGATGCCCCCAAGAGAGATCACTCAGCATCCCCCGAGGTCAGCCGGCGTGCACAGAGTGGCAGCCCCCGGGAGGGTCGAGATAAGCGAGAGGTGAGTGGTGGGGACTGGGAGCCAGGACTCCTGAGTTCTCTCCCCAGCTCCGGGAGGGAAGGGGGGGTCTGGTGGGTCAGAGCAGGGCAGGGATGGGAGCCAGGACTCCTGGGTTCTATCCCGGCTCTGGGAGGGGAATGGGGGCTAATGGGTGAGAGCAGTGAGGCTGGGGGTGTGGGTTGAAGTCCATGCAGTAGCAGCTCTCTCTCCCCCTCCCACAGAAGCAGTCTTCTCGGCGCTCCCCCCGCCAGCGTTCCTCCTCCCTGTCGCCCGTCTCCGAGGGGAAGCAGAAGGACAAGGATCACCCCCGGCAGCCAGAGCGCAAATCCACCCCCACCCTGACCCCGGCGCGTGAGCCACGCCCGCAACGCCGCTCCCCGTCCCCCGAGCCGGCCCGGGAGAGGGCCTCGTCCGGCCACAAGCGCCCACCCTCCAAAGAGACCAAGTCCCCCCGTTCCTCCTCCCCGCCTCCGAAAAAGCCAGTGGCTGATCGCCCCAAGAGCCCGTCGCTAGTGGCTGTCCCCTCGGCACCGGCCACGACCCGGAAGGCCCCCTCCCCCCAGCCATCCCGCTCAGGCTCTGAGAGCGACGAAGACTCCTCCTCCTCTTCTCCCGAGCGGGATAAGCCGGCCCCAAGCAGGCAGGAGAAATCGAGGGGCTCCCAGCGCCGGGACCGCTCCAGTTCTTCCCCGGAGCCCTCCCAGCCTGCTAAGGCTGCCCCCAAGCCCTCGTCCCGGCGTGAGCGATCTGGCACCCCCGCGAAGAGCGCCAAAACCCGCTCCCTCTCAAAGAGAGACGCCAAGTCACGCTCGCGGACGCCCCCTTCCCGCAGGGAGCGCTCCCGCACCCCGCCCCGCCGGGGAGGGCGTTCCCGCACCCCGCCCCGCCGGGGGGCCCGTTCACGCACGCCACCGAGACGGGGCCGGTCCCGATCCCGGAGCCCCCAGTGGAGAGGCAGGTCCCGGAGCCCCCAGAGATGGGGCCGTTCCCGTTCCCGCACTCCACCCAGGTGGGGCAAATCCCGTACGCCCCAGAGGAGGGGGAGATCTCGCAGCCCTCAGAGACGAGGATGGTCCCGCTCCAGGACACCCCAGAGGCCTGGCTGGTCTAGGAGCAGGAACACGGCGAGGCGGGGTCGGTCTAGAACCCCGCCCCGGCGAGGCAGGTCCCGGTCTAGAACCCCGCCCCGGCGAGGCAGGTCCCGGTCTAGAACCCCGCCCCGGCGAGGCAGGTCCCGGTCTAGAACCCCGCCCCGGCGAGGCAGGTCCCGGTCTAGAACCCCGCCCCGGCGAGGCAGGTCCCGGTCTAGAACCCCGCCCCGGCGAGGCAGGTCCCGGTCTAGAACCCCGCCCCGGCGAGGCAGGTCAGGGTCCTCTCCCAGGCGGGAGAAATCGCTGATTTCAGCCAGGAGGAGCCGCTCTGGGTCATCAGTTGAGCGAAGGAAGAAATCCAGGCTGCTCCTGCGGAGGAGCCGGTCAGACTCGTCGCCAGAAGTAAAGCAGAAATCCAGGAAAGTGTCAAGACGCAGCCGCTCCACATCGTCCCCTCGCCTACGGAAGAAATCCAGATCATCACCTCGGAGGAGCCGCTCTGGCTCATCATCTCGGCCAAAAAAGAAATCCAGATCTTCCCCTCGGAGGAGCAGGTCAGGGTCGTCTCCAGCGCTGAAAAAGAAATCCAGAACGCCGTCCAGGAGGAGGAGGAGGAGGTCTGGATTGTCTCCGGCACTCAAAAAGAAATCCAGAACACCACCTAGAAGAAGCCGGTCTGGATCGTCTCCAGAAGTGAAGAAGAAATCCAGGTCATCCCCCAGACGAAGGAGATCTGGATCTTCTCCATTGGCGAGAAAGAAATCCAGATCACCGCCGAGACGAAGCAGGTCTAGGTCTTCGCCAGTGTTGAAGAAGAAATCTAGATCACCGCTGAGACGAAGCAGGTCTAGGTCCTCACCAGTGTTGAAGAAGAAATCTAGATCACCCCCAAGACGAGGCAGATCTGGGTCCTCTTCAGTGGTGAAGAAGAAATCCAGATCACCACCTGTGAGAGGCCGATCTGGGTCTTCTCCAGCCGTGCGAGAGAAATCTAGATCGCCCCCGAGACGCAGCAGATCTGGATCATCTCCAGCATTGAGAGAGAAATCTAGATCGCCCCCAAGACGCAGCAGATCTGGATCATTTCCAGCCGTGCGAGAGAAATCAAAATCGCCCCAGAGACGCAGCAGATCTGGATCATCTCCAGCCGTGCGAGAGAAATCTAGATCGCCCCCAAGACGCAGCAGATCTGGATCATCTCCAGCCGTGCGAGAGAAATCTAGATCACCCCCGAGACGCAGCAGATCTGGATCATCTCCAGCAGTACGAGATAAATCTAGATCGCCCCCGAGACGAAGCAGATCTGGATCATCTCCAGCAGTACAAGAGAAATCTAGATCGCCCCCGAGACGAAGCAGATCTGGATCATCTCCAGCTGTGCGAGAGAAACCAAGATCACCCCTGAGACGAAGCAGATCTGGATCCTCACCAGAACAGAGAGAGAAATCTATATCACCTCCTGCGAGAGGCAGGTCTGTTTCCTCTCCTGGGTTGAAGAAGAAATCCAGTTCTCCTCAAAGGCAAAGTGGGCTTGGATCTTCACCAGCAGTGGAAGGGAAATCCAGATCTTCTCCAGGGAGAAGCAGATCTGGATCCTCTCCAGAATTGAAGAAGGTGTCTAAGACCTCTCCAAGACACAGTGGTGCCGTGTCTTCTCCAGTGGTGGAAGAGAAATCTAGCTTGCTTCCAAGATGTAGCCAGTCTGGATCCTCTCCAGAACCGATGAAGAAATCCAGATCGCCGCCTGCGAGAGGCAGGTCTGGATCCTCTCCAGAGCTAAATGATAAATCTAGCTCACCACTCCCAAGGCATAGCCAATCAGGATCTTCTCCAGAGCCAAAAAAGAAATCCAGATCACCTCCAAGATGTGTTAAGCCTGGTGCTTCTCCAGTGGTGAAGGAAAAATCCAGATCTCCTCAGCCATGGCAAAGCCGATCCGGATCCTCTCCAGAAGTGAAAAAGAAGTCCCCATCTCCGCCCATGAGAGGGGTCTCTGCAGAGCAAGCAAAATCCAGATCACCTCCCTCACTGAGCGGATCTGGATCATTGTTGACACTGAAAGGGAAATCCAGTTCGCCCCCAAGACGCAGCCGATCCGGATCCTCTCCAGGGTCAGGAAGCAAGCTTGGGGCAGTTTCAAAACACAGCAGGCCCGTGGTTTCTCCAGAAGCTACAGAGTTAGTGAGGATTTTAGCAGGTCAGGTCAAGCCGATGTCTCCTGAGACAAAAGACAAATATGGAATGTCCCCAAGAAGGAGCAGATTGGGGTCGTCCCCTGGCATCAGAGAGAAATCCAGAACACCTCCAAGCAGCTCAGAGTCTTCTCCAGAACGGGCAGAAATATCCTCATCACCTCTGAGACGCAGCAGATCTGGCTCGCCCCCGAGGCCGCGAGAGAAGTCCCGATCGCCCCCGAGGCCGCGAGAGAAGTCCCGATCGCCCCCGAGGCCGCGAGAGAAGTCCCGATCGCCCCCGAGGCCGCGAGAGAAGTCCCGATCGCCCCCGAGGCCGCGAGAGAAGTCCCGATCGCCCCCGAGGCCGCGAGAGAAGTCCCGATCGCCCCCGAGGCCGCGAGAGAAGTCCCGATCGCCCCCGAGGCCGCGAGAGAAGTCCCGATCGCCCCCGAGGCCGCGAGAGAAGTCCCGATCGCCCCCGAGGCCGCGAGAGAAGTCCCGATCGCCCCCGAGGCCGCGAGAGAAGTCCCGATCGCCCCCGAGGCCGCGAGAGAAGTCCCGATCGCCCCCGAGGCCGCGAGAGAAGTCCCGATCGCCCCCAAGACGCAGCAGGTCGGGCTCATCTCCCAGGCCTCGAGAGAAATCCCTATCTCCTGCAAGGTATGGCAGTTCTGGCTCATTTCTGAGATCTAGAGAGAAATCCAGATCGCCTGCAAGGTACAGTATATCAGGCTCGTCCCTAAGACTTCGAGAAAAATCCAGATCTCCTCCAAGGCGTGGCAGGTCCGGCTCATCCCCGAGACCTCGAGAGAAGCTGGGGGCGTCTCCCAGAAGCAGCCGCTCTGGGTCGTCTCCAGAGAGACCCAAGGGCCCGACGAGGCGTGGTCGGTCCAGCTCCCCCTCCAGAAGGGGGAAGTGGAGATCTTCCCTGCGGCGAGGAAGATCTGGGTCGTCGCCCAGGAGAACCCGCTCCCGGTCCATCTCCAGACGAGGCAAATCCAGAAGCTCCCTGCGGAGGGACCGATCCATCTCGTCGCCCGGCAGGAGCCGCTCGAGATCCACCTCGCGATTCTCCCGCCGCCGGGAGCGCTCGCCGTCCTCGCCCCGCCGCGGCAGATCCCGCACGCCGCCCCGCCGAGCCCGAGCGGGGTCTTCCCCCCGGCGCCGCGGCTCCCGGCAGCCCCGCTCCCGCTCCCCGCCGAAACTGGACGTCTCCCGCACTCCAGCCTCTTCCTACCGTGGCCGCTCGAAGGCGTCACCAGCCAGGACCCGCTCAGGCTCGGGATCACCGAAACGAGCCGGGAGGAGGTCCCGCTCACCGCCGGTGCTGGAGAAATACCCCAAAGTGGGAGCAGCTGACAAGACAGCACCAGGCAGAGCTGAGAAGACGTCGCCCGTGGTGGTGGTGCCCATCCGGCGCAGTCCGTCCTGCTCCCCGCCGGCGCCGGACGAGGCCTCCCCCAAAGTCAGGAAAGCCCATTCCCCTGCCCCCAAGATCCACTCCCCACGGCCAGAGGGGTCTCTGGGAGCGGTGAGGAATGGGGGTCCAGCGCCCGCCTGGACCCTGAACTCCTGCCCTGTCGCCCCTGGGGGCTCCCCACCTGCCGGCCGCCTCCCCCCAGCCAAAGGGCCAGAGAAAGTCAGATCTTCCTCCTCTTCCTCTTCCTCCTCCTCCTCTGCATCCCACAAGGTGCCCAGCCCCCTGCCCGCCCCACTCCCGGTGCTGCCCCCCAAGGAGGAAGACAGGGAAGGGCCAAAGGTCAAGTCGGAGCCGCCAGCCCCGGAGGGGCCCGGGGAGCTACCAGACAAAGCCCGGAGTGGAGTCCCCAAGCTGCTGGTGCCGCTGCCGGTGCCCCCCCGCACCCCGTCCAAAGAGAAGAGGAGCTCGTCCACCTCCTCGTCGTCCTCCTCGTCGTCCTCATCCTCTTCCTCGTCCTCTTCCTCCTCCTCCGACTCCAGCTCCAGCTCTTCGGAGTCCAGCCACGACTCTCCAGCGAGCAAGGGGCCCGACCTGGAGACAGCGAAGAAAGAGTGAGTCCCCTGCGGTGTCCCCCCGGCCAGAGCCCCCCCACAATGTGGCATGTCCCCGCTCTCCCTGGTCCCCCACGGCACGGCAGGCCTGTCCTCTGCCTGGTCCCCCACGGCCTGTCCCCATTCCTTGGCGGCACGCCCTCCCATCTCCGGCCCCTTGCAGCTCCCCACCCCATTCCTTCTGGCCCAGCCCAGTGCCCCCCTGCTGAGCCACCACCCTGCGCATGGTGCCCCCTGCCCAGTCCCACTCTCCCCTGCCCCAGTTTCTCACGCTGCCCCTGTCCGCAGGCCCCTGAGTCCGGCGCAGAAGGAGCTGGCCCGCGAGGGGCGCCCCCTGGAGGTGGCCAAGCGGAAACGCCGTTCCCGAAGCTCCAGCAGCTCCAGCAGCAGCTCAACGTCTTCATCCTCCTCGTCGTCCTCCTCGTCGTCGTCCTCCTCCTCGTCCTCCTCCTCCTCGTCCTCTTCTTCCTCCTCCTCCTCTTCCTCCTCCTCTCCTAAGCCGGGGCCCCAGCCACAGCCGAAGGCGGCCCCCAAGAAGCTCTCGCCTGAGCAGAGGCGGTAAGTGTGGGGTGTTGGTCTGGACGCCTGGGTCCTCATTGTCCTAGGGGTTGGGCATTGCCAGGCTGGATACCTGGGTCCCTGTTTTCCCCTGGATCCCTCTGGGTCTGTCTGAGGGGAGTTGCTGGTTGATGCCAGCCCAGATGCCTGGGTCCCCATTCTCCCCAGGGAGCAGGAGCACAGCTGGCTGACCCTGGGTCCCCTGCCCTGTCCTGCCCAGAGTGCTGCTGGTCCCACCCCCCACAGGGGGCGCTACTGTCTCACCTGCCATCCCCCCTTCCCCCGCACAGCTCCCGGAGCCCCCGGAAACCGATCGACTCCCTGCGTGACTCGCGCTCTCTCAGCTACTCCCCGGCCGAGCGGCGCCGGCCCTCCCCCCCGGAGCCCCCCCCGGCCCAGCGGGAGCGGCACAGGTAGGTGTCTGCTGGAACCCCAGGGACCAGCACGTGGGCGGGAGGGGGGCTAGGAGGGAAGGGTGAGGGTTGGGGGGGCTGAGGAGCAGGGGAGGGGGGAATCGGGCGCCTGGGAGGGGGCAGGCTTGGAGGGTTGTGGGTCAGATCTGGGGGCCCCACTGACCCTCCCCTTACCCGGCGCCCCCCTCAGTGACAAACCCTCCCAGAGGAGCCGAGGAACCAACAGCCGCTCCCCGGGTCGCAAGCGCAGGCGGGAAACGCCCAGCCCCCCCCACGCTGCCCGTCGCCGAGCGTCCCGGTACGAGGGGGCTGAGACGGGGCTAGATGGGCCTGTGGGTCTGATCTGGGGGGGCTGGGAGAGGGCAGGATACCAGGGTAGATGGGCCCATGGGGCTGATGAGGGGGCAGGATACTGGGGTAGATAGGCCTATGGGGCTGATCTGGGGCAGCCAGGAGGGGCAGGATACCAAGGTAGATGGTCCCATGGGGCTGATCTGGGAGGGGATGGGGTACCGGGCTACATGGGGCTGATGGGTGTGGGGCGCAGGACAGGGCGGGATACATGGGCCCGTGGGGCCGATCTGGGGGGCGGATCGGGGTAAATGGGCTCATGAGGCTGGTCCGGAGGGGCAGGGAGGTGGCGGGATACCGGGATAGATGGGCCTGTGAGGCTGACCCATTGGGGTCTGCATTTTCCCCCTTTCTCCACAGGGGGCCAGACCTCTCCCCGTATCCCCTTAACCCCTCCCCCCTTTCTCCTCGTTTCAGGTCGCCGTAGCCCGCGGGGCTCCGCCCAGCCTCCAGCAGCAGCGCCCTCTAGCAGCGGCACCGGCAGCAGCCTCCTCTGTTTCCATTGGTTCCTTCCTTCACTTCCCCCTCCCTCATTGGTCGGCGGCTACGTCCCGCCCCCTCGGCTGCCGGGGCCCCGCCCCGTTGTGACTCGAATCTCGTTTTTTTCCCATGTGAGCGTTTCAGTTTTTTCTCTTCTGTGAGTTTTACCGATAAAAAAACCCGACAAAACTTCTGTGTTTTGAGACAAGTGGGGGGTGGGGGGGGAGTTGGGTTGATTTAGACAAAAAATGGTTAAAGAGGAAAACACAAAAAAAGTGGGGGGGGGTTGGGGGGGGAACTGAAAAAGCCGGCTTGATTTAGTGTTTCTCAGTCGGGGGGCTGGCGAGATCCTGCTTCTCCGGCAGAGACCTGCATGGCATGGGATGGCATGCGTCCCCCTACATTTCTGAGGTGCATCGCCCCTCTTTGAAGCACCCCCAATTTTCAGGGGGTGAATCCCCCCAAATCTCGGGTTTAGATCACCCCTTTCTTTTGCAGCCCCCTCCAAATTTTAGGGGGTAGATTGTTCCGCTTTCACTGGCAGCTGCTCCAGAATCTCAGGGGGCGCTCTTGTTGCGAGCACCCCAAATTTCCAGGCCCATATCCCCCTTCCCAGCCCCCCCCAAATTACTCTGATTGGGGGCAAGGAAGTGATTTTGAGTTCTCCTTGCCGTTAAAATGTGGGGGAGCGCCTCTTCGGGCTCACGGTGGGGGTTCTCGCTATCGATATTTGGGGGGATGTTAGCAGGAGCATCCTGAGTTCCAGGGCACAGTCTGCCCTCTTCTCAGGAGCCACCCCCAAAATTAGACTCCTTTTTAGGGGAGCATATGTGCTTTCAGTTAAATTTGGAGCACCTCGTCTGATGTGTGGAGGGGGCAGAGTTGGGGGTTCACCGGACCCCCCAATAAAGGATGTGAGGGGGGGCTCTTTGAACCCCAGAACAGCAGTTTGGGGGCACCGTCAGCAGAGCCCAGATCTGCGGTTTTGGAGCGTGAGTGGCTGTGCCGCGGGCCCCACAGTTTTGGGGGGGGTGGTGAGCCGGCTGAGAAACCCTAAATCGAAGGGCAGATTGGGGGGTGGGGCGGGGGGTGGGGCAGAGAGTTTTCTTCACGTTTCTTAAAAGCGTTCGATTTTTTTTTTAATCTGTACAGCAAGGAGACATTTTTCTGTGAAATAAACTACGAAATGCAGAGCCTGCGCCCCCTCCCTTTCCTCGGGTGCCTGCGTCTTTCGGGGGGCGGCGGGGGCCCCCCCAAACCTCGCCCCCTGCCCCGGGCGGCCAGACAATAACCAGGCAGATGCTCCCCCCCCGGGACCCACAGGGGGCAGGAAAAAGCGGGGGAGGGATCCCTGCATAATGGGGGTGCCCGGGGATGGTTAGGGGGCTGGGGGAGGGGCTCACTCCAGTGAACCCCTTTATGGAGTGACAGGCAGGGTCCCGGGGGCTCCTGAGCCTGCTGCTATATCAGCAACGGCCACAGGAGGGCAGCACCGGGCGTACCAAGTCCAGCCCCTGCTTTCCCCGCGCCTTGGTGCAGGCTGGAAAGTCCCATTTCATAACCCCGCTGCCCCCCCCCCCCCCCCAGCCCCGCCGGTGCCCCTCACTCCTGACCCACAGCCCCCTGCCAGCCCAGCCCTGACCCCCCCAGCCCTGCCGGTGCCCCCCCCGACCCACAGCCCCTGCCAGCCCAGCCCTGACCCCCCCCGCCCTGCCGGTGCCCCTCACTCCCGACCCACAGCCCCCTGCCAGCCCAGCCCTGACCCCCCCCGCCCTGACCCCCCCAGCTCTGTCGGTGCCCCTCACTCCCGACCCACAGCCCCTGCCAGCCCAGCCCTGACACCCCCCGTCCTGACCCCCCCAGCTCTGTCGGTGCCCCTCACTCCCGACCCGCAGCCCCCTGCCAGCCCAGCCCTGACCCTCACTCCCGACCCACAGCCCCTGCCAGCCCAGCCCTGACCCCCCCCGCCCTGACCCCCCTGCTCTGCCGGTGCCCACCCCTCCTGACCCGCAGCCCCCTGCCAGCCCAGCCCCGCCCCCCCCAGCTCTCTCGGTGCCCCTCCCGACCTGCAGCCCCCTGCCAGCCTAGCCCTGACCCCCCAGCTCTGCTGGTGCCCCTCACTCCCGACCCGCAGCCCCCTGCTAGCCCAGCCCTGACCCGCCCCCCCAGCTCTGTCGGTGCCCCTCACTCCCGACCCGCAGCCCCCTGCCAGCCCAGCCGTGGGGTCCCTTCCCTCACAGGGCTCTGCCGGTGCCCCTCGGCGCTCTACTTCTCCTGTGTGTGGTAGGCAGGTGGTTGCAATGGTTTGTGCAGCTTGCTGCAGGGAGCGGGGGCTCAGCAGGGGGCGCTCTCCCCTGGCAGTCAGGGCGGGCCCCAAGGCGGCACTAGGGGGCGCTGTGCTGCAGGGAACGGGGTGAAGCTCAGGGGAAGCATTTCCTTTGAAAATGTCCCCAAGCCCCGGAGTCTGGGTCCAGTCCCAAACCAGGGGCGTCTGTTCTGCCTCCCTCGCTCCCCCTCAGCACCAGAATGGATTTTACCTCCCACTTTGTGTTCCCGGCGTCACTGTGCGGCTGTTCCCTTGCTGCCCCACCCCAGAGCTGGCTGCATCTCAGCCGCAGGTGAGTCATCCCTGTGCAGCGTTGTATGCGGCTGTTCCCCAGCCGCTCCGCCCCAGAGGTGGCTGCATCCTCGTGCCAGGTGAGCCATCCTAGTGGGGTGTTACATGCGGCTGTTTCCCAGCTGCCCCACCCCAGAGGTGGCTGCATCTCCGCGCCAGACAAATGAATTTGAGGAGGCAGATTTATGAGTTTTTGTCTTTCAATGCAGCAGTTTATTTGAATCCACACGCTGGCTGAGGTACAGTCCCTAGATCCTTCCTCCCCGGCTTTGTGTGGATAACAACCTTCTATAGCTGTTTTGCCTCAGCAAAGATTTGAAACCATCCCCCCCTTTCCCGGGCCAGGGTCTGAGCAGACTCTGGGTGCTCCCCAAGTTTGGGTTCCTGATACCTTCATTTCTTCTGCTCCTGAATCCCCGGGACTCTCAGGGGGCTTTTCACCCCCAAGTCCCGGACTCCTGGGTCCCTCCATTCTGACACCACGGCTTCCCTTGGCTCCTTGCTCTTCTCCAGTGCCTGGATGCCTGGGTCCTGCCCTCAGGATCTTCTTTGTCCTCCAGGTGACCGCGTCCTCTTCCCACCCCCAGCCACAAGACCCGGACTCCTGGGTCCCGTTCCACCAACACCCCCACCTCTGGCGCTGGGAACCACTCCCCCCGTTTCTCCTCCCAGACCCCGGGGTCTTGGACTCTTGGCTCCTACCCCGCCTCAGCCCTGGCCCAGACTCCTGGGTTCCCTTCCCCCACCCTCTCTGGCCCCCGGACTCCTGGGTCCCCAGCCCCTGCGGCGCGGCGGTCTCTCCTCCCGTTGCTCACAGTACACTCATCCATAAAGTAGGAAACACTACACGGGACACGGCGGTTTAGTAGTGCTTTCTACTTTATGGAGGAGTCCACTGTCCGTATCGGTGCCAGGTCTCAAGCGGCGTCCTTCGGCGGGCACCGCCCTGTGCCAGGCTCCGGCTGCCCCGTGCCCTGCCCTGCCCTTCCCTCAGCTCCCGCTGCCTGCGGTCCCCGGCTGGGTAGATGAACAGGGAGCCACAAGCAGAGGGGGCCGGTTCAGGGACCCTGGGAAGGATTGTCAGAACCCAGGCGTCCGGGCCCCCAGCCTCCCCTGCTCTAACCACTAGACCCCACTCCCCTCCCGGGGAGAGAACCCAGCCCTCCCCCTCCTCTACCCTGGTAGACCCCACTCCCTTCCTAGAGCTGTAATTGGGTATAATTAGCAACAAAATAATGACTTGTGCAGTGAGCGTTGTAAACGAATGATCACTTATTACTTGACTGATTTAACAGCAAGGGGTTACAATGATCACTGCAGTATTAATTCTCTAATTACAATATTAAAATAAAGATCCCGATTCTGCTTAAGTAGCCACACCTCGTTGCCAATTATCAAACGACCCCTCATGATCTCCAAGGTGGATCCGCTGCTCGTTAGGTGGTGAGGAACGATTTAAGCGCCATTTAACGCCGCAGAGCACAGGCTCTTGATTGAATTACTCATTAGAAAATGGGGATTAATTACTAAACACTGTTATTATTAAGAGACTAATAATTATACAATTCTGACCAATTGTTAATTGTAATTTCTAGCTGCAAAAAGGGTTTTCTAGGCTGCAAATAAATCACTGTGAAATGGCTAATTATTGGAAAGCATAGAGAGCAAATGAGAAGACGCGCAATGTAATTTCCTAGGATATGGCTAATGATTGCAAACGTAATCGCTCGGTTCCTAATTTGACAGCCGGCCGCTGGCTCCTTGCAGGGCTGCCGGCGTGGGAGATGGACCGATTAGAGACTAGAGCTTCAATGTCATTTTAGCCGAGGAAACTGTCTCAGGAGGATCGGTGCAGTGAGCAAATTATTTTAGAGATGGCAAATAAGGCAAGAAATAATTAGTAAGGAATCCCCAGCCCCCACTCCCCTCCCAGAGCTGGGAGAGAACCCAGGAGTCCGGGCTCCCAGCCCCCCTGCTCTAACACACTAGCCCCTTCTTCCCTCCCGGAGCTGGAAGAGAACCCAGGAGTCCGGGCTCCCAGCCCCCCTGCTCTAATACACTAGCCCCTGCTCCCCTCCTGGAGCTGGAAGAGAACCCAGGAGTCCAGGCTCCCAGCCCCCCTGCTCTAACCCACTAGCCCCTGCTCCCCTCCTGGAGCTGGAAGAGAACCCAGGAGTCCGGGCTCCCAGCCTGGAGCAAAGGAGACCTTCTTACCTGTGCCCCGTATCCAGCTCACAGGTATGGGATTCAAGCGAGGTGCTTCCTGATGTTAGAGGCTGGGGGGACCCCAAAATCCTTGTTTGCTTGGTTGGGAGGAGAGGGGCTCTGAGCCTGTACTCCCCACTTACTGCCCCCCCCCCTGCAGAGATTGGGGCATGACTCCCAAGTGGAAGAGGCTGGTGGAGGGACTAAGCAGGATGGGGGACCCCAGAAGGGGGGGACCCCAGAGGGGACTAGAGGCAGGTACTCTGGGGCTCTGCATCCCTGCGCCCCAGACTCGGGCCCCGGACGGATCCCGCCCCCCGCTGTGGTGGAAGCGGGAAGCAGGCGCCATTTTGCTGTTGCATAAACCCCTGTGCGGGTTTGCGACAACTTCCGCTCCTGGGGGGCGCAGCACGCAACAGACAGCCCAGCAACCCCCCCTCCCAACACCCCCCAGTTCCAGAACTGGGGACACTGAGGCACAGAGAAGCAGAGTGGATAGAACCTAGGAGTTCTGGCTCCCAGCCTCCCCGCTCTAACCACTCGACCCCACTCCTCTCCCAGAGCTGGGAATAGAACCCAGGAGTCCGGGCTACCAGCCCCCCCCGTTCTAACCTCTAGACCGCACTCCCCTCCCGAAGTGGGGAATAGAACCCCGGAGTCTTGGCTCCCAGCCCCCCCATCTCTAACCTACTAGACCCCACTCCCTCCCCGAGCCGGGGAGAGAACCCAGGAGTCCTGCATCGCCATAGGGTGAGAAACCCACCTGTGTCTGTGGCGGGGTTGGGGGGCTCAGGGTGGAGGACGGGGGGGCTCCGGTCAGCAACCTGCAGAGGAGAGAGAGCGAGGAGCCGGTGACAGGGCTTTTTATGGTTGACCCGAGGCCCTCCCACTATGCACCCCTCCCCCGTCCCGCACCAGTCATGTGATCGGCCGCCCTCCCCCCCCCGCCCGCCCAACCACAGGAAGTGGGGGGCCGTGGCTCGAAGTGGGGCCTCACAGCGGAAATTCTAGCCCCCTCACCCAGCTCAGTGCATAGCTTCACCCCTGGCCGCGTGGGGTTAATGGACCCAGCCCCACATGGTGGCAGGAAGGGGATCTCGGCCCAGAAAGGGGAACAAGCCCCCACCCACTCCGGCTCCTCCAGACCCATTAAAGGGCCAGGGGCAAGAGTTGGCTTGGGGAGCTGTGCCGGGGCCCCTCACTACCGACCCGCAGCCCCCTGCTAGCCCAGCCCTGCCTGTGCCCCTCACTCCTGACCTGCATCCCCTGCTAGCCCAGCCCTGCCCCCGCCCAGCCCTGCCTGTGCCCCTCACTCCCGACCCGCAGCCCCCTGCTAGCCCAGCCCTGCCGGTGCCCCTCACTCCCGACCCG